GCTATTGCCACATGGCACTTTGGCCAGTAAAGAGAAATTCCTGCAGCCCTTTTTCGGAGTTGCATGCATCAGCCTGCAGTGTCCCTGGATCACAGCTCCTGCAGGTACCTCTGGTGATGACTTTCTGCTTGTTTTAACATTTACTATAATCTGAAATACTTAGAATTAGGAAATTTTGAAGAGCTTGAGATGTACTTTTAATGTCATAAAGAAGGCCAATTTCCATAGCACATTTTACAGTGAGCAATGCATAAAAAAGTGATGATCTTGAGAAAAATAAAAAGCTGCATTAAAGTACAAATATATAGTAGTTACAGATTTCAAGGAAGCATCTCCCTATTTAATACTTATTACTGTGGAAAAATTTGTCTTGAATTATGCAAATTCTTCAAGAAAAATCTGCATAAAATCTGGTAGATGATATTCCTATAAACAGTGTTATTAGAAAACAATTCTAGGACAAGCAGAGATTTAATGGTTCTATAAATGTTTGTTCATCCAATGAGTATTGAGCACCTATTATGAGTCAGATACTGTGCAAGGTCGTGAGGACGTATTAATAGTTTTGAACTAAATGGGTTAATAGTTCTTGCTTTATATCCTTTCATAAGAGATTATATGCAAGTGAATACATGTAACAGGATCGTAGAATGAACTCTTCCTGCCTCAGTTTTCACTAAGGACAACAAGGTAGTTTCCAGAATTCCATATCTCATATACATATTTATAAGGAAATGGCTCTAAGAAGCTGTCCCACAACTTGTAGGTTCACAAGAAGCTATATAATTTGTGGGACCCAGTGTAAAATGAAAGTGCAGGGCCTCTTGTTAAAAAAACTATTAAGAAATTCCAGATAGCAACAGCAGAGCACTAAACCAAGCATAGGGGCTTTCTAAGTGCCCTGTGTGATTGCACAGTTCAGACATCCATGAAGTATCGGTCCTGCTTGGATCCTTCAGCCAAAGAAAGAAAATGAAAAGAGCTTAGAGTGAAGAAGGGAGATTTGGAGGAGGGTGATTTTTGGAAAGCTGTTGCGTGCTTTCAGACTGCTACCATCTAAAACATGCTCAATTGAAAGTGCTTCAAAGGGACCCCTTGAGGAGCTCTGAAATGTGCCTGTTTGAGCTCTCATTCAGACTAGCCTGGGGTGGAACACCTACCCACCTGATCTACAGGACTGTCAGGAGAATGCCATTGTGGTAGAATGCTACTGCTCATCTAGATATGCTGGGGGCAGAGGTTGATTGCCTAACCGTGTTAGGGGCCAAGAGAGTTGGAAAGGGGGTGTCTTGGGCCAGCCTGCACTTGGCAATTGCATGAAGTCCTGTCTCCTAAACAAAGGTAATAGAGTCTATTCCTACCATTTAGAGTAGCCAGTCCTGCATCACTCATACTCCTCCAAGCTCCTTTGTAAAATTAAAATTTCATGTATTATGAAACATTTTAGATGCAACATTATCCATAACTACAGTGACCTCGTGTACCCATCATTCAGTTACATTATTATTACCTTTGAAACCCTCAGTGTCTCTCTCCCTGATTACATCCCCTTTTTGCCCTTAAAATAAAGATTGATTTCTTTATATTTTTTCAGGTTTTACAATCTATCTAGCTATCTGTCATCATCATATTGCATATAAAGGGTATTACACTATACATTTTGAAATTTATTTGTCTGGCTGTGCTTTGTGAGAGTTCTCCATGTTGATAAATGTAGCTATAGTTCATTTGCTTTCACTGCTGTAGGGTATTTCACCGTATGACTCTACCACAATTCATTGATCTCTTCTGTTGATAGACACTTGTTTCCCGTGTTTTGCTTTTATGAACAATGAGGCTATAAGTTCTAATATATATGTCTTCATTTTCTTGGGCAAGGTTGTGTTTGTTTCTTTTGCAGATCAACTCCTTGCCCTTCTGCTCTGCTCTGTATCTCAGGAGCAGACCCAGATGGGTTGCATTTCCCAGGCCCCTGTGTCACCTGGCTTGTTTCTGGGTTTAGGCACTGGGTTTGGGAGAGGGGAGAGAGAGGCCAGAGTACTTGGCTCCCTGTCTCCCAGTTTCAGATGGCCTCTTGCTGCATCTCTAGCACCCGTTGGACAGACCCACCCTGGTTCTATCCTCCTCTCAGCAACTCCAGTTAACTCCTGGTGGGGCTACCCTTTTGTCTTAGACTTGGGGTGGCAGTGGTCTCCTGAAGTTGCTCATTTCTGGTTGCCTTGCTGACTACTGTTTGACTTAACTCTTTCAGTTCCCAGATAACCTATTTTGTGGATTAAACCCTTTCTGTTTCAATACTTGCAATGAGTTTTTGTTTTCTTGGTTGCATCCCAAAATGTAGGTTGTACACATCTTTAACTCCAAATGGCTCTCCACACATGCCGATTTAGAACTTTGGCTGCAGTGTATGAGTTCTCGTTGTTACGATCTTTGCCAGTATGAGGTACCAGACTTTTTAGGTTTTGGTAATCTGACTGGCCTGAAACAGTATTTCACTGAAGTTTTCATTTCATTTTCTTTTATATATTATTGACCATTCAGGTTCTCCCTTTGGTGAATTGCATGTTTGCCCATTTTTTGATTGTTTGGTTCTTACTGATTTATAGGAGTTGCTTATATTTACATGCAAATCTTTTGTTATATGTGTGGCAAATATCTTCTCCCATTCTTAGTCTTGTCTTGCCATTTTTCAGTGGTATCTTTTCACAGACAGAGGTTTCTAATGTTAGTGTGGTTCTCAAATACTTTTAATGTTTCTGAGTGTCACAGAAGATAACTGATGAGACGGGAGCCTCCAATCATGAGCTAAGCTGAAGACCAGACTACCTGTGTTGACAAATCTTCTGCAACCCAATCCCCTGGACAGGGCATGTGTAGGGAAGTGGTTCATACCTGGCTAGCCAAGGAGCATAGATGGCTGGACTCAAGAAACATCAGGCTCTATTTGCTGCAGATCCCAGCCAGGACTCTAGAGGATGTATGGCTTCACTAGGGGCAACTTCCAGGCTCTACTAGCCTAACTGTACTACAGCTTCAGCCGAATTCAAGCCTATGATGGGAACTTGTTTCTTTCCATTTTTACTGAGCCTGGTTTGGAAAGTTTATTGGACAGGGCAAGTCCCTGAAATGTAACCAGTTCCATGCAATGTGACCAACTGGCAGCCAAGAGCCGTGCTGAGTTGCAGTAGAGAATACACAGACGCCATATGGCCAGAGCCGAGTGCTGCCTCAGGAAGCAGAGAGACCTGAGCACGACTCCTCAGCAGGCTGAGGAATGAGCCTAGGACCTGTCTGATGTTTCCCTGGCTGCCTAGGCCTGAACATTCATCTCTCCACTGGCAATGGCAGCCTCCAGCACAAACCCACTGTGAGGACTGACTCCCCAGAGCAAAGGTCAGGAGCTTGTATGACGTGTATTTTAGAATAGTTATTACTTGCATATGCTATTTTTAAAATTCAAAGAACATAACAAAAAGAACACAAATTTTTGATTCTTCTCATCAGCTTGGTTCTCACCTCTCACTTTCCTCCTCAGCCCCTTAACATTTTCTTTATACAAATTCAAGCAAATTTGAATATATATTTCTTTTTTTTTTTTTTTTTTTTGCGAGAGGGAGTTTCACTCATGATACCCAGGCTGGAGTGCAATGGCGCGATCTCGGCTCACCACAACCTCCGCCTCCTGGGTTCAGGCAATTCTCCTGCCTCAACCTCCTGAGTAGCTGGGATTACAGGCACGCGCCACCATGCCCAGCTAATGTTTTGTATTTTTAGTAGAGACGGGGTTTCACCATGTTGACCAGGATGGTCTCGATCTCTTGACCTCGTGATCCACCCGCCTCGGCCTCCCAAAGTGCTGGGATTACAGGCTTGAGCCACCGCGCCCGGCCAAATATATATTTCTATACTTCCCAATTTTTACATGAAAATAACATACAGGCAGTTTTTTAAAAACTCCAGATTTAAGTGATGTTTAAGCAATAGTTTTAAACTCAGGTTTAAATTTTTTGTTTTGTTTTTTGAGATGGAGTCTCACTCTATCACCCAGGCTGGAGTGCAGTGGCACAATCTTGGCTCACTGCAACCTCCACCTCCTGGGTTCAAGCAATTCTCCTGCCCTTAGCCTCCTGAGTTGCTGAGATTACAAGCACATGCCACCACACCCGGCTAATTTTTGTATTTTTAATAGAGACAGAGTTTCATCATGTTGGTCAGGCTGGTCTCGAACTCCTGACCTCATGATCCACCAGCCTTGGTTTTCCAAAGATTTTACTTTTTGATTAGCTATTTCTTGTGAATTGACTATCATTTGGATAATTTTTTCCTAATCTCCTATGACAATTTTCAAGTTTTCTTTTAAAAGTCTGTGTTGTCTCACCAGTGCAAGGCAACTAAGTCTATGGTGTTTTGTTTTTTTAATTTCAGAATCAGAAAAGTTTAAATGTGTTTGACAAAGAAAATTTGAAGAAAGAGAAAAGCACAGAAAAGAGTAATTCTACTACCCAGGAATGTGTAATGATGACTGTTACAGTGTTTAGGACTCTGGTACTTTATAATAGATGTCTTGAATGTCCCAATAAAACACAATCAGGATTAACATTTACTTTAAACTGTAAAGTGGAAAAACACTAATTTACCATGAAATCACAAATGTCCAAAATTTCCAAGTTCATTGCTGACAGCAATGTGATGTGTTTGTCGATGTGTGTTAACTTGCTCTATGTTTTATTTTATCTGTCTATATGTCCTCTTTATTTTATTTTTATTTTCATTTTTTTGAGACAGGCTCAGGCTCAGGCTGGAGTATCATGATGGCTCACTGCAGCCTCCATCTCCTGGACTCAAGCTATCCCTCCTGCCTCAGCTCCCCAAGTAGTTGGGACTACAGGTATGTACCACCAAGCCTGTCTAATTTTAAATTTTTTTGTAGAGATGGGATCTCACTTTGTTGCCCAGGCTGGTCTCGAGCTCCTGGGCTTAAGTGATCATCCCACCTCAGCCTCCCAAAGTGCTAAGATTACAAACATGAGCCACTGTGCCCAGCCATATTTTATTTTTAAAAGGAGTCTTAAATAGAGACACATATTGATTGTGTGCCTAGTGTAAGGAATTATATCACCCCTCTGTTCAGTTCAATGTACTGCAACAAGTATGTATGCACTACTTTACTTGTAATAGTAATTCTTTATATTAATATATGTACCACAGTTTGCAAAAGTCATTTGCTTTTCTCAACATTCCTTTGAGGGAGGTAGTACTATTCTTATTGGTTGGATGAAGAGACTGAGGATAAGAGAGGTTAAGTGCCTTGAGGAGTTGGTGGTTTGGACTCCAAGTCTAACTTTCATTCCACCAGACCATGCTGGGAACAGAAGAAAGGAGAAATACCCTACATTCCTATGCCTCTTTAAGCTTACAATGTAGTTGATGAGACAAGCCCCCAAACCATTAGACACCCAGATAAAAATACTTAGCCTAAGGAGGAGACATGGCCGTCTTCATCAGTCCCTAAGCACTCTCCATTTTGCCAGTTTGAACTACTTCTCCCTGTTGCCTTACTTGGTCTTCTTTAGGCATGTATGGTACCTGCCCAGACTCTGAAGGCCTTTGAAGGAGAGCTCCTGATAAGATATAGGGAAGAATTGGCTGAGTTCTGGTCCCTGGAGTTTTAAATTGTAGGCGAGGCAGAAATTGTGCATTTTACCTGCAATGGAGACTTTGCACTGACAGGTGAGAGTTGCATCTTAATTGTGTTTTTCCTGTGGCTTAAAAATGTTTTTCACATGTCAATCATTCATTCATTCATGTTTGATTTAAACAGGCATCCCTGAGGACCCAGTATGTCCCCTAGGGCACCCTGCTAGCCCTAGAGGGAGACAAGATAAATAAAGCATGGCTTATCTCCTTAAGGATCTCTATTTCCATATCGTTCTTCTGGTTACTCAGGCAACAGACTTCAAATACAGCATTAGTAGATAATATGCAATCCACACTTTCAACGTAGACACTCAGAGACAGCTCTATAAAAGTATCACTTCACTACCACATAAGCCAAGAGTTTTTCATCTCTTTTTGAAACCACAATCACTCTTGTGAAGACAAGTTCTCTCTTCTAGGACCAGGATTTAAGGCCATGGTGTCCAACATGTGGTACACAAGACAATCCACATAAAGCACAGGAAGAAAATATTGTATTTTCTTTAATGTTTCTTTTAATGGATCCTTTTAATATTTCTATTATTGGGAAGGTGTTTTGTATCATGTAAAATATATTAGTACAGCAGTGTACACATGTGCTTTATGAATAAATAATACGTATATGGTGCTGTGCTCTCAATAGTGTTTTATTGAGGAGGCAGCACTCAAGAATTTGAAGTTTACTGCTCCAAAGCCACAGCTACACTGCCTCTTCTTTCTGAACAGTGTATATGACTCTGCTGAAAAGCTCATTTGGGAAGCTCTCCAAAGTCATTGAGTTCAGATTTGGCCTGATGGCAGAGGAGATAATTAGATAAGGTTTCTAAAATGGTAAAGTTTGAATTCAACATGGGAAAGTTCTGTAGACTGTGTCAAATCTTCTGTCTAACATGAAAGAAGGATAGATTTCTTTTTACCTGGGTGTGCCCTTTCCTGTCAGGATCTGGAGTATTAAGAACTTACTTTTTTTTTTATTATTACTTGGAGAATCCGTTTTATATTTATTTTGTTGTTGGAACTCTTCTCCAGAGTTATTTCCCAGACATTTTCCCAAGTAAGTGCCAGACATCGTCACTGCTTCCTGTAGCCCTGCTCCTCTTCTAGCTGAAGTTGAAGGAGCATCAGCTGGGGTCCTGAGTTCCCCTCTCTTATACCGCCAGACATTTACGTTTGTCTTAAAATGTCGAACAGAGTCCCCCATCTGTCAATTCCTGGGAGCATTCTACCAGCTTTACTGACAAAGTTAAGTTCTTCTCATTAACCTAACATCTGTGCATCGAATACTCTTTACCCGCTTTCTTGCCCAGGAATCCTTTCTGCTGTGCAACTGTTGATGTCTGGACTGAATATTATTTTTCACTTTCATCTAAAGCAAGCTTGTACAACCTGTGGCCCAGGATGGCTTTCAATGCGATCCAACACAAGTTTGTAAACTTTCTTAAAATATTATGAGATTTTTGTGTGATTTTTATTATTATTTTTGTAGCTCATCAGCTATTGTTAGTGTTAGTGTGTTTTATGTGTAGACGTAAAAACAACTCTTCATCCACTGTGGCCCAGAAAAGCCAAAAGATTGGACACCTGCAATCTCAAGTGTTCTCTCGTCTTTTTCTTCATTCTGCCTCTGCCCATGCCTCAGTGGAATCGTCATTGATAACTTCTGCAAAAATGCAAGTCGTGTTTAACTAAAAAGAAAACAAAACAAATCTATGATAATTCAAAAAATACTTAGGTAGAGAAAGTGGATTGTGATTATCTGAACTGCAAGAAGGTCTTTAAAGACAGATTCTTTTTCATCTTCTTGAGGTATCATCAGGTTCATAAAAATCTCAACTTTGTATAACTGTTTTAGGAAACCATCTGTTGTATAACGCAAATGTTGTGTAACACTGTGTAGTTGAAGCATCCCTTTCCTCCAGTTCAGACCATTACTAAAGCCTTTGCTTGGAGTGTCCATGTTTTGATATGAAATTTGAGAAATTGCCTCATCTACGTCAGAGATAAACTAGACGATCCTTGAAAACATCCACTTTTGGCTTTAGAGTGTTAATTAAGAATATTGAATTTATCAAACCCAGGGCCCCCTGGGGACAAAAGTAGGCTGGCAAAATAGCTTTTGGTTAGGTCATTCAGAATGATCGTTTCTTCTAAAGCAAATGAGGAATTCCTGTCCTTGATGCCCAAGTATAATAACATGTCATTATATAATTAGATGGAGAATGCTAACTGCTGTAAGCCATAGACCCTATGGTGTATAGTGGCTCAGACACAATAGAAGTTTACTTTTTGTTCTTATGACAGCCCTGGACAATAAAAAGGATGGCAGGATGGCTTTCCTGCAGGCAAATCTTTCAGGGATCCAGACTGGTGATGCTCTAGCACCTTCAACCTGTGGCTTCCAGACTTTCCCCAGGAGGTGTCTCCATTGCAGCCATCCAGGAGGCAGATGAAACATGGAGAAATGTGCATGGCCAGGTATGGACGTGTTGCCCCTCACTTCTGCTCACATTCTACTGCTAGAACAGAGTCACACACCGTCCCTAAGTGCAAGCAAGGGTGGGGAATGAGGGCTAGTTACACACGGAGGACGAAAAGGAGAATGTGGGTGCTGGTCTTTGCTATAGTATCTGTACTTTTGCTCATGGAAAAATTTATTTCAAAGTTCCGTTTTACCAACCAGTGAGAATCAATTGTGTGTTCAGAAGTAGCTCTGGGATCACCACAAACCTCTACTAATATGAATCAAATGTCACAGAGTTGATTTGGCTTTTCAGAAGATTGGCAAATCTCCATTGGAGGAATGAGTAGGGGTGACCTCTGTGGAACTGGGCAAACTGGTTCAGACCATTTCCTGGCCTGAGCCTGTGAGTCAGTCCTCCCAAGTGTCTGAAAAGCCCATGTGCACTGCATTCTCATGTGATTGGGGGAAATTCTGGTCTTATCTTCACAAATAAAAATAATTATTCTGCTAAAATCGCCCACTTGTTATCTGGAAAGACAGCAGGAATCCCTTAGTAGGAAGGACCCCAGGAACCCTGCTACAAATACGGGCCAATAAATGGGCAAAGGTAGGGAGACTTTCATCTTTTGGAGAAACTAATACATAGGGCATCAGCTGAGTTTCCATTTCAGTGCAACTTAAGCCTGAGTGATAAAGGCAGCAGTGTTCTGTGAACCTTATATTACATAACCCTCATGTGATTCAGGGCTGCTATTTATAGTTTCCCATTGTGTGGGGCTCTGGACTGGGTTACAGGGATGCAGCTTCCTTCTGCAGTATCCCAGGAGGAGATCCAAATGACTGCAGTGTACCCAGCGTTCACCTGGCTTAGGTCTTTCATGACTGTTTCTGTTTTATTGTCTATCTTAAGTTTTGGCTTCTACCTTTCCCTTACACTTGGTTGTTCATTCATTCATTTATTGATTCATTCAACAAATACGTAGTGCCTGCTAGGCACTGAGGATAAACAGTTGAGTAAAACACTCCTTGGGTGGAGGTAGGGAATAGAAAAATACTGACTCCTAGACCCCCATCCAAGACCAATGAAAACAGTGTCTGGGTGGTGAGCTCTGGGCATAAGTGTGATTTAAAATCTCCCTAAGAGAGTCCAGTGCATCGCCAGGATGGAGAACCGTTAGATTTGTAGATCCTGAAGCCAGAGGAATGTATGAAATTTAATATTCCAGGGAGGAAGACTAAGATGATAAATAGAGAGTTCTAAGTAGGTGTCAAAAAAACAGTAGAGGGGGGATTGGGAATTGCTTGATACAGAGAAAGAAATACAATTTTATGGTCAGATCAATATGTAGTGGAATTTCAACCTTTCTATCTTTTTCAACCTTTATAGCTTTGTGTGATTCTGGAAAAGTCATTTAAACTCTTTGAGCCTTTGCTTTTTCATTTAAAAATGTGGGTAATTAGAATCTTCACAACCTAGGATTGCGGCGAGCATCTAAGCAGAGTCTGGTGGACAACAAATCTCAGTTGTTTTTGTTATTATTTGGAGTTCAGGAGGAGAGATCAAGAACAGAAAGCTGGACAATTTAAAGGTGATTTTGAGTCCTAAGGGATCCTCTCTTGCTTCCAAAGTTGGGGAGAAGTCCATTATCATTTTTATCTTAAAACTCACACAAAAATGTTGTTAATTAGAGTACCAATTAATTAGGATAAAAAGAAAACTTCAGGTGTTTTTGAAAGGTCCTTTTTTTGGAGGACATGTCAGAAAGTGCTCAGGCCTCCCTGGGGGCCTTTCACTGTTTTCTGCTGTTAGGCAAACCTTAGCAGGCAGGTGGAGAGGTTAGACTTGAGCATTATAAAAGGTCTCACCATTCTGAGTGGGTGAAAGCAGCAGACCCTGTGTGGTTGAGCCATTCAGACACCAATCTCTCTGGGTATTTAACTAACCATTGTTAGCACTGGTTTTAGTGATCGACTGTCCATACATAAGCAGAAATGTATATTCAATATATTCCCCTTTTTTCACTTATAACACAGTCTTAAGCCCTGGTTTTGTTTTGTTTTTTACCTTGACAATAACTTGGCGATTATTTCTATCAATCCATAAAGAGCTTCTTCATTTTAAAAATAGCTACACAGTATTCTTTAATGTGGTTGCATTACAATTTATTTAACCAATATTCTCTTTATGGGTATTTAGGATGTTCTTAGCCTTTTGTTATGTCAAACATTGCTGCAGTGATAGACTGTATATGTATGTCATTTTGTATGCGTGAGAACCTTTTGAACTATAAATTCCTGGAGGTGTAATAGCTGGGTCAAATGGTACATGCATTTATAGGTTCCCTTCACAGAGGCTTTTGTTGTATGGGGCTCTAAACATAATTCCCACTTCCACCAGCAATGTAAGAGAATGCCTGTTTTCCTGTGCTGTCTGTCACAAAGTTTGATTTCCACCAATGTACTTAGTGCAAAATGATACCTCCCTATAGCTGCAATGTGCATCTCTTTCATTGTGAGTGATGTTGAGCCCTTTTTCATGTTTTAAGACTCATTTGAGTTTTCTTTGCTGGCAAGAGTTGGTTAATATTCCATGCCTATTTTCCAACTGAGTCATTGGTTTGTTTCTTGTTGATTTTTGAGAATTCTTTATATGTTGAGGAAATTTAGCACTGCATCTATGGCAAATATGTTCTACCTTTCAGTTCTGTCTTTTCTCTTTTGATCTTGATTGTTTTGCAGGATTTTGTAGCTTCTGTGTTTTGTGTATGTTATAAATCAAAAGATATTCACTTTGCAATCATAAATAATTTTTAAATCTTTTTTAATTTTTAAAATAAATTAAAAAAATTTTGGATCAGTTTAGCCAGAAAAGATTATTAAATAATTATTTCATGGTTTCTTAGATCACTTGTAAAATGCTATTTTTTACATTAAAATTTTTACACCATTTGGAATTTGTACTGGCATATGGTGTGAGGTTTGGGTTCCAACTTTATTTTTTTTTATATAATTAATTAATTTTTTTTGAGATAAAGTTTCGCTCTGTCACCCAGGTTGGAGTGCAGTGGCACAATCTTGGCTCACTGCAAACTCTGCCTCCCAGGATCAGGCGATTATCCTGCCTCAACCTCCCAAGTAATTGGGATTACAGTTGCACTCCACCATACCCAACTAATTTTGTAGTTTGTATTTTTTTTTTTTTTCTTTTTTCAGTAGAGACAGGATTCCACCATGTATGTCAGGCTGGTCTTGAACTCCTGACCTCAAGTGATCCACCTGCCTTGGCCTCTGAAAGTGCTAGGATTATAGGAGTGAGCCATCACATCTGGCACCAACTTTATTTTTAAATGGCCACCCAGGCAGGGCATGGTGGCTTATGCCTGTAATCCCAGCACTTTGGAAGTCCGAGGCGGGTGGATCATCTGAGTTCAGGAATTCGAGACCAGCCTGGCCAACATGGCAAAACCCTGTCTCTACTAAAAATATAAAAATTGGCTGGGTATGGTGGCATGCAACTCTAATCTTAGCTACTTAGGAGGCTGAGGCAGGAGAATTGCCTGAACCCAGGAGGCAGAGGTTACAGTGAGCTGAGATCATGCCACTGTACTCCAGCCTGGGTGACAGAGTGACACTTCGTCTCAAAAAAATAAATAAATAAATAAAATAAAGCATGAGGCTAACCCCTGTTATCCTAGCACTTTGGGAGGCCAAGGCCAGCCTGACCAACGTGGTGAAATCCTGTCTTTACTAAAAATACAAAAATTAGCCGGGCATGGTGGTGAGTGCCTGTAATCCCAGCTGCTTGGTAGGCTGAGGCAGGAGAATCACTTGAATCCAGGAGATGGAGGTTGCAGTGAGCTGAGATCATGCTATTGCATGCCAGCCTGGGCAACACAGAGAGACTCTAGCTCATAAATAAATAAATAAATAAATGCCATCCAGATACCTTAAAGCCTTTAATTGAATAATCTATCTTTTCTTCATTGATTTGAGATTCTATTCCTTAACATACATTAAACCTCTAGGATATATGAAATTTCTATAAGCTCTTGTGTCTATTTTTGGACTTTCTATTCTTTTCTATTGATCTCTGTCTATTCATCCATCAGCATTACACATTTTTAATCACTATAGCTTTATAAAATAATTTCTGGTTTGAAAAAAATCTCATAATTCTTTTTCAGGGTTTTCTTGCTCATTCTTGTTTATTTTTCTATTTGAACTTTAGAACCAACTAATTCAGCTTAAACAGTTAACATGTTATTGGTACGATATTACACTTATTGTTTAGCAAGAAGAGGCCTGATAGCTTTATATGTGTTACCTTCACAGTGTGGTGGTCCTGCCCCTTGGTTAGTATGATCCGGTATCACCAGTCAAATATACCACTGCTCTACCTAAGAAGACAAGTGAGGGAGGGGGAAGAGGGGCAATCTGAAGTTTACCCCATGCCACTGCATCCTGGGGAGTAGAGCAGGAAACCTCTGTTCCATGGAAACATGAGGAACAAGTGGACAAAAGATGCTCACCATGACAGTGGACCTTGAAGAGCACCTGATGGGAATTCTTCCTCAGGATATGTTTTGATGGCTCTTAAAGGAATTTGGTCTTACGATTCTGGAGATGTGGTCATTAAAAGTGACTGTCCAGAATTTCACCTGCTGAAAAGGACAGTCAGAGGCAGGTATAGTACAAAGAACATGGGCCCAATAGAACTGAGTTTAAATCCAGTTGTATGATTTGGGGCACTCACTTCTCCAAGTCTCATTTTTCTCACCTTTGGAAATTCATTGTGGAATTACAGGATCATAATTAATATGTCAAAATTCTAGCACAGCACCTGGCATATGTTAATCAGGTGTATATTTTGCAGCAAAGATGTACTTGAATTACTTTATAGTCTCTTTGAAGGCATTGGCAAACGTCTGCTGCAGAGAGTGTCCCCATAGACCCCAGAGAGACCTCATCTAGGAGACAGGGCTGGTCTTTATATTTCCGGGATTCCAAGCATTTCAATGCTCTCAAGCATTTGCTCTTGTCCTGTGATTCACGTAGGTTCTCTCATCTCAATGCACCTCTATGCATTCCACTTGCAGGTATTTTTTTTTTAATGTTTGTGTCATCCCAAAAGGGAGATATTCTATATATAAACAAAGAGAAATTTGATCCTTTAAAAAGTGCTAAGTATTTTTTCTGATTATGATTTTAACATATGCTCAGTTATGAAACAATGAAAAAAATAGAGAAAAACAAGAAAATAAATGAAAACATGAAACAGAAAATATTTATCAGTATGTATATTTCTGGGTTTATTTCTGTGTCTACACCCACCTCCACACGAACCTTGATACTGACGTCTATATCCACACTTGTATAGATATTCACACCCATGTAGCTGTTTACATTGATCTGTATATAGGATCATACCTTATATAATTTGGTGGCTTGCATTTTTAACATTGTGTCATATCTTTCATGTTATGCAACATTTCTGGTAAACACAATTTTTGATTACTGTATAATTTGTGTATTTTTCTTTTAAAAGTAAAAACTGATGCAAGCAGATTTTATCTTCACTGATACTAGTTAGAGAGATAAAGTGTGGGGTTGTTATTTATACATTTCCATTTAAATATTATACAAGTGATGTAAAGAAAACGGTTAATTTCTGAAAACTTAGAATAATGAATGAAAGCCCATTTAGAGTCATTGCCTCCTATCACGTTTTAAGGAAAAAGGCTTGAATATTTTTCAGTCATTACCCAGTGACTTGCGCAACAATTTTTATGAGGAGTCTAACAAAAGCCAAAAGCAAGAGTTATGTCCCGCCTTTTGTTTCCAGAACACAGAGTGTTTATCCTTTCTATGGGGCAAAGTTGGACATTTTCCATAAAGCAAAACCACATGGAAATCTAGAGCAATTTGAGCCAAATGATAAATAAAAAGCAAGTAAAGTAAATCAAGAAATACTTGAGGGAGAATGAACTAGGTCACTTCTCTCATCCCACTGTGACATGTTTTGCTGTGTCTCTGGTGGTTGACCACAAGATGTCACTATGGCATCTTTAATCCTAATAGTCATGTAGCTAGCTGGGGGTGGGGAAAGAAAGGGAAGAAAGAAAATCTTACAGTTCTATGCAAAATGGAATGGTACTTTTTTTTTTTTTCCTGGCAGGCAGCCAGGCTAATAAAAAAAATTTTTTTTACACCAACACTATGAATTGAAAAGGCTTTCAAGAAACATCTGCAGTGAAACTGTTAACTCCAAAGAAGTCCAACATCGTTATTTATACTGTATAAATTAAAATGGAAAATAAAAACCCATTTGGGCCAATGTGCAAAATCTCCAAAGCAAGAGAGAAATACTTCTGAAGTCAATCCATTTTCGAAAACGATAGCATTAAATATGGAGGATGTAAGAGTGGAAAACAACTGAAATCGGGCACAGTGGAGCTTCAAATAATCAGTTTCCAAAAATGTATATTGTTAATCGACCACATTTCCCTTCACACTCAAATTTTAGGAGAAAGAAACAAATCGTTTTAAAAAGGGCAAACTCCTCCCGTGTTACTTGGGGAAAATGATTTTCAGAGATGACCAGCACAGTCAGCAGTGGGCCTCCATGTGACGCATCTGTAGGTCAATAAAGGAGAGCTGATGTTCTCAGTCATGATTCTGAGGAACTGAAAGTTCCCTGGTCATCAATAAAACACTATTTCTTTATTTACACCAAAGGCAAAGAAGTACTTGTAAAAATCAGGAACACATAAAATAAATCCTGGGATTTGTATGGCCACCTATCAGATGGTCTCCCCGGCTCGCTTACTTTGTATGAATGTTCATAATGCATTTCTCCATTCACATGGTGTTGGCATCATTGGCATACAATGTGGCCTTTCCGCTGACCTCCTGGGTGGCCAGTAGCCTGCCAAAATCTCTTCCTCAGGAATTTGCAGTTGAGCCACTTGAGTCTCTCTCAGGACAAACTCTGCAACTGCTGGTCACCATATTTTCCATCTTGTGGACCAAAATGCAAAAATCAAAACAAAACAAAAGCAGAGGTAAGAATGACGGGGCACTGAGGAAGGCTTGATGGCATCTGGATGTCTGGTTCCAATTTGTCCTTGACACTTAGAGTCAGCCATTCTTCATGCCTATAATCCCAGCACTTTGGGAGGCCAACCAGGGAGGATCACATGGTCAAGAGATCAAGACCATCCTGACCAACATGGGGAAACCCCGTCTCTACTAAAAAATACAAAAAGTAGGTGGGCGTGGTGGCATGCACCTGTAATCCCAGCTACTGGGAGGCTGAGGCAGGAGCATTGCTTGAACCCAGGAGGCGGAGGTTGTAGTGAGCCAAGCTGGCGCCAATGCACTCCAGCCTGGTGCCTGGCGACAGAGCAGGACTCTGTCTCAAAATAAAAAAGTAAAAATAAAAAAAGAAGGGGAATCAGCTACTCTTGGATTCCAAGAGAAAGACCTCATCGTAAATAATCATTTGTTCAGCCACGTGACTCTGGTGGTTGCGATTTCTTGCAACCCAAAAAGCCTTAATTTATGAAGAGACCACTCAAGATTATCTGGAGCTCAAGTTACTGTAATTTTTCCTCTTTGCACCTCAACTCTCCTCAGCTCTCCAGCTCTCCTCTTCCCCTATCATTTATTTATACAGGCATTTAGGTTATGGAGTATTTTATTTGGTCTTTTGAACGAGCAATCCTGGTTTGTTGAGGGACAGTGGGGATAAT